CTTGGGCTTCCTTGAGTCTCCTTAAGAGCCCTATATTGCCCACCTTTGTGAGCTAGCATCCTTCTAACAGCTAAAACCTTTGGAATATATCAGTTTAATGACCCCCCACCTTCTACCAATACATAATTGATACTCAAACCAATGTATTAATGCAATGCCTTGATCTATGATTTCCTTTTGTTCTGTGACTATAAAAGTTCATCTAACCACGTTTAACATCGGAACTGCGTAAATCTGTGTTCCAGGCCATGGCCACTCAAAGTTGACTCAAAATAACCTCTGTTACACCCTTTGAGGCCAGAGCTGTTTTGCATCAACACTTCCCATGAGATCTGGGGGCCCCAACGAGCTTAAGCTGGGGAATGGCTTTAATTTACTCAGTGTATTTCCAGGACAGAAGACCCGCAGGAACACAATGCCAAACAGAATGTTTTATGGTTATTCAAATGTGTTGCTGCAATTCTTTCTTCCCTCATTTTAGCTGTCCTTCCTTCCCAAATAAAGCTTAGATGTTTTTTTCTACATCATGTGCTTGAGAAAAAAATGTGCCTAAGACAAAACTGTCTGTAGGGTGCCTAGTATAACAGGCATACGACTCTGCATGCTTAAGACTCTTAAGTTTGGTTGTTAGCACCACATAAACCAGACTTGGTGCATGCCTATAATAAAGCATTAGAGAGGCAGAGGCAAGAGGGTCTTAAGTTCAAGGTCACCTTTGACTACACAGCAAATCCCAGGCCAGCCTGGGCTACACGAGACCCCGTGTCATAAAAAGAAAAGCTCTAGGGGCTGGAGGGATGGCTCTGCAGCTAAGAGCACTATTTTGTCCATTCAATCTAGAATCACCCGTTGTGTGGTGTGACTTCCCCACAGTGGTGGACTGAAGCCTACAATGAAGATGAACGACTCTTTTTCCCTAAACTGCTTTAATCAGGGTCTGTGGTGGTCTGAATAAAAATGATCCCCTAGGCTCATGTATTTGAATGTTTGGTCCCCAGTTGGGGGAACAGTTTGGGAAGGATTAGGTGTGGCCTTGTTGGAGGAGGTGTGTCACTGGGGAGGACTTTGAGATTTCAAAAGCCCATGCCAGGCCCAGTCTCTCTCTCTCTCTCTCTCTCTCTCTCTCTGCCTGCAACTTGTGGATCAGAAGCAAGCTCTCAGCTACTGCTACAGTACCACACAGGCCTGCCACCATGATAACTATGGACTAACCCTCTGAAACTGTAAGCAAGCCTCCCATTAAATGCTTTCTCCTGTAAGTTGTCTTGGTCAATGTGTTTCACTACAGCAATTCAACAATAACTAAGACAGAAGTTGGTACCAGAAGTGGGATATTTCTGTTAGAGGCTTGAACATGCTGTTTGTAGGAGAAATATGGAACCGACTTTTCTTCCAACTCCTCATCTCCCACTTCCAGCTATCCCATTCCCAGCTCCCTTCCAGAAGTCCCTCTTACCCCAGCTTAAGACTGGTGTTAGAACAATGTAAGAAGGATGTAGAAAATTTCATATTCCAATATCCCCAAAGACCGACCACACAAGGTCCCACCCCAGTCAGTGTACCTGCCAGTGGGTTCCCTTAGGGGGTGGTGAAATTGGATTTGTGAATGCTCTCATTAGTTTTCAAGTAAGAAGACTTACAAGAGTGTAAACCTTTTCTAGATAATCTCTTTGGAATATGAAATTCAAAGATGGGCCTTCTTTCAAAAAAGCAATCAGCTGACTTCATACAACTATGCTACATTCATAGCTTGTAGGAAATTTAAAAACAATCGCTAAATAATTCAAAGGTGTGTTGGTGGCTGTTTAAATGCTCACTTATGCTTTTTTAGTTTTTTAGTTTTTGTTTTTTGATACAGGGTTTTTCTGTGTAGCCCTGTCTTGTAACTCACTCTGTAGACTAGGCTGGCCTCAAACTCACTGAGATCAACTGCCTCTGCCCAGCTGCTGCTGCTGCCGCCGCTGCCTCCGCCGCCGCCGCCGCCACCACCACCACCACGGGCACAGACAGACTTCTTAAAGCCTGGATGTCCTCCTTTAGTACCTTAATCCTACCAGTCAAGAAGTACAATGGGGGTTGGGGATTTAGCTCAGTGGTAGAGTGCTTGCCTAGCAAGCACTAGGCCCTGGGTTCGGACCTCCACTCCAGGAAAAAAAAAAAAAAAGTACAATGGTTCATATTGAATATATTGCCTAAGATCTTAAAGTAATTAGATTGTTAAAAGTAAACACCCTGTGGTCCTCAACACATACATCTCCTCAGAAAGAACTACGACCACAGATTTAAAAGATGCCTTTTGGGCCAGGAGGTTGTGGCACCCACCTTTAATCCCTGCCTTCAGGAGGCAGAGGCAGGTGGATCTCTGTGAGTTCCAGGCCAGCCAGGTCTACATAGTGAGTTCCAGGACAGCCAGGACTGTACCACTGAGAAACCCTGTCTCAAAAAACAAAAAAGAAAACAAAAATGCCTTTTGGGCTTGCACTCTTCTAGCTGATGGCAGAGACCTCTTTGCCTTTGAATGGGAAGACCTCATTCTTGGAGAAAGCAACAATATTCATGAGCGTCAGTGATTCTCCTAACCTTTTTGGTCAGATACTTGAACAAATTTTGGAGAAATTCAGCCTCCCTACTCAGATGTGTCCACCGCAATATGTGGATGATCTTCACCTATCTAAGAGAAGTACCACACCACCAGTTAGCTTCCTTGGCAGTTAAGGGTTGTGGGAATCAAAAAATATATAATTTGTAGAAAATGAGGTTAGATAATTGGGGCATCTAGTCAGCCAAAGCCAAAGGTTAGGCCCTGAAAGAACTAGTTGGGACCACATCTAGTGCTCTTCACTCCCTCAGCAAAGTGTGGTACCATACAGCTCACCTGCATACAACAGGAGCATCCACACAGACAACTTTGTTTTCCAGGATGAATTCCCCCATGTTTATTTTAAATTTTAATATGACTAGCAATCCCTCAATTTATCTTGCTTGCGGGCACTAATTATTTACTCAGTTGGTTTCCTGTTTTGTTTTGGATGGGGTGCTGTGGGAAGTCATTCTGTATGCTGTGAATGTGTGGTGTTCTGACCGGTTGATAAATAAAATGCTGACTGGCCAGTAACCAGGCAGGAAGTATAGGCAGGGTAAGCAGACAAGGAGAATTCTGGGAAGAGGAAGGGTTGAGTCAGGAGTCACCATCCAGACACAGAGGAAGCAAGATGGCAAGGCAGAACCAAGAAAAGGTACCAAGCCACGTGGCTAAACATAGATAAGAATTATGGGTTAAATTAAGTATAAGAGGCAGCTGGTGAGAAGCCTGAGCCATTAGGCCATATAGTTTGAAAATAATATAAGCCTCTGTGAGTTTATTTGGGTTTGAGTGGCTGCGGACCAGACAGACACAGGAAAACTTCCACCTACAATAGGGTCTCATATAGCCTAGGCTGGTCTCAAATTTGCTATGTAGCTAAGGATAACCTTGAACTCATCCTCCTGTTTCCATATCTGGAGTGCTGAAAGGAAAGGTGTGTACCAAAATGCCCAGTTGTTACAGTGCTGGCATCAAACCAAGGGTTTTGTACATACAAGGCAAGCTCCGTATTGACTCACACCGTGTCCCTACAGATGGAGAGATTTCAGTCTTTTAATTGGCTCCATAAAACCAAAGGAAACCAGGTATAAGAACTCCTCAGCCATTGCAAATACAACATCCATGGCTTATTCATACATCTTCCAGTAAAAAAGTACAATATAAATAAACATCATCAAGACTCCCCCGCTGTCTGTACTGACACTGGGACACAGCATGGTGGGTGTGCAGGCTGGACACAGGCAGGCCTGCTGCCCACTGCTGTCCACCCATGCTTCACTGAGAAATAGTATATGGAGCTGGAGAAAACCACAGCTTGCTCAACTTCCAAAAAAATAGAATCAGAGTCCACTTGCTCTCAGAGAACTGAGTGAAGGCACCCAACCTCACTGGATGACCCCAGTAGATAGTGAAAAAAGGCAATACAACAAACCCCCCTCACCCCCCTCCCCCCAAAAAAAAACAGTAAAAAACAATACACACAAGAGTGCTGACAATCTTTTAGGGCAAAAAAAAAAAAAAAAAAACCAAAAAAAAAAACCAAAAAAAAAAAAAAACAAAAACAGAAGTCATAGTAAAAACAAAAAGTAAAATCTGAAATGCTTTTCAGAACTTTTTTTCTTTTTCTGAGACAGGATCTATGTAACTGCCTGGTCTGAAATCTCAAAACTCACAGAGATCTGCCTGTCTCTGTGGCTCAAGTGCTTAGAAAACATTAAAGAAACAAAACAAAACAAGAAAAAGAAAAGTCTAGTGATGAGGATACCTGGGGGCAAGCAGCAGTAGGGCTCTGTTGGCAGGAAGAGAACACAGCGGGAATACAAGACTTGTTCACTGCACGTGACTATTCAGTGGAGACTGAAACATCTTTAAATTATAGCTACCAGAACAATCTCCAGCAGTCTTACTCTTCATAGCTGTCCTTATCACTGTCGGACTGGCCCTAAGCTCTGGCCACCACAGCTGTTACTCTGTGTTGGTATCTCTGTAGCTCCCCACTCCTTGCCTCACAGTGGCTGCCCCTCCCCCCAAAGCTTCAGTCTCCTCTACACCTGTATTTAGCCCAGCCACTGGCAGCGCCACCTCGGTCCCCAGACCATCCGCATACTTGCCATTCACGGCCATATCTTGTCCTTAGCATCATTAGTATTCTCAAAGGTGACAAACCCAATTCCCCAGATCTCTGGGTTTCTCTTTTACAATCACCAATTAAGAGATTTGTCATACCTTGCAACCTTCCATCAACTGCTCTTTAGTGTTGAAACTCAGCCCTCTGATAAAAACCTGAACTTGACCTGATGCTCACTAAGGTGGCCTGCTGTGACTCATCAGTCAAGACCCTGGGCATGGGGAGTGGGGTGGATGGAGACAGTAGCCACATGGGTTCCAGCCTCCTAACATGCAAGTCTGCTAGTGATAGTTTCTTTCAATTTCATTATGCCATTCTACCTAATATAAAACAAAGTTTCTAAATTGTTTTCCACATTTATCACATTAAAAATGTCTTTCTTGAAAAATCTTTTTGATATGAATTAAGTATCTTTCAGATCCATCATTCAATTGTGGTTTCTCTCCAACACGAGTTACATGATGTTGAGTACGGGATGACACTCCACTACCAGCTTTACCACATTCTGGGCATTTACAGGGTTTCTCCCCAGCTTGAATTTTCTGGTAGTCCATGGGTTGTGAGGAGGTGCTGAAAGTTTTCCCACACTCATTACATCCCTGGGATTTTTCACCACTTCTAATTGTCCACTGGAGAACAAGTTTTGCACTGTGGCTGAAGGCCCTACCACGTCTCTCTCCAGTGGACAGATGGCTGGAGTCATACACAAAATCTGGGCCACACTCAAATTCCTGTGGGTTCTCTCCCAGGTGAATCCGCTGATGCTGAGTGAGGGCTGATCTCCGGCTGAAAGCCTTCCCACAGAGCCCACACTCATAAGGCTTCTCTCCAGTGTGAACACGCTGGTGTAGGGTGAGCTGGGAACTCTGAATGAAGGCTTTCCCACACTCAGTGCACTGATAGGGCTTCTCCCCTGTATGGACTCTGCGATGCTGCATGAGGGTGGAGCTGCGGCTGAAGGCTTTGCCACACTCACTGCACACATAGGGCTTCTCCCCAGTGTGAATCCTCACATGCTCAGTAAGATGGGAATTGAAGCCAAAGGCTCTTCCACACTCACCGCACACATAGGGCTTCTCCCCAGTGTGAACCCTGTGGTGAAGAAAGAGGCTGGAGCTCTGACTGAAGGCTTTGCCACACTGGCTGCACTTGTGGGGCTTCTCTCCTGTGTGAATCCTCTGGTGCTGAATAAGGCTTGCATTTCGACTGAAGGCCTTCCCACACCAACTGCACCCGTGGGGCTTCTCTCCCGTGTGAATCCTCTGGTGCTGAGTTAACTGAGGACTCTGGCTGAAGGCTTTCCCACATTCATTACACTTGTAAGGTTTCTCTCCTGTGTGTATTATACGATGCTGAATAAGACTTGAACTTCTACTGAAGGCCTTCCCACATTCATTACACCCAAAAGGCTTTTCTCCAGTATGAATTCTCTGATGCAGACGGAGATAGGAATTGAGCCCAAAAGTTTTCCCACATTCATCACACTTAAATGGTTTGTTCCCAGTGTGAATTCGCTGGTGAAGAATAAGATTTGAACTGTGAGTAAAGGCCCGCCCACATGGACCACATTCATAAGGCTTTTCCCCAGTGTGACTCCTGCGATGCCGACTTAGGTCTGAATTATATTTAAATGTTTTATTACATATGTCACATTTAAAGACTCTCTGTCCTGTTTTATTTCTTTGAATTGTAACAACACTTTGGCTTGGATTCAAGTGTCTGTCAAATGCAGGAATCTGGCCATTTTCTGGAAGTTGTTCTCTACATACTGGAGAGTCCTCTCTAGCAGCTCTCTTCAAACTCTGAGTAGAACTTCCTTGGTTTCCTTCTCCCTGACCTTCATGGTCCCAAGCTTCCTGGGATTCAGGTGTTTGTGACTTAGCCCTTGGGAATTTCTGTGATATTAATTCTGGTGTTTTTACTTCTCCAGAACATTTCTGGTTTAAAATGGATAGCTCCTTCTGAGCCTCAATCTCAGAATCTGTTAAACAAAAACCACAAATAAATTACTAAAGGTAATCCTTTGTCAGCAGAAGTCACAATCTGTTTGATGTTTCCACAAGTTATTATGCCCCAAGAGTGAAGACACACACCTTTAATCCTGGCACTTTGGAGGCAGAGGCAGGTGGAACTCTGTGAGTTTAAGGCCAGGCTGGTCTACATAGTAAGTTCCAGGACAGCCAGGGCTACATAGGACCCTGTCTCAAATAAATAAATAAAAATAAAGCTATTATGCAAAAGTCAGACGATTCAGCAGAAAAATGTGACAGAATCCAGAAATAAAGATGGCCAACAAGCAGAATGAAGACTGTAACATTCACTAGTCACCAAACAAACTGCCAGTGTTAAATTAGCAAATCAATTCATTCAATAAATATAAGACCAAGCTGGGCGGTAGTGGTGCATGCCTTTAATCCCAGCACTTGGGGAGGCAGAGGCAGGCGGATCTCTGTGAGTTCAAGGCCAGCCTGGTCTACAGAGTGAGATCCAGGACAGGCTCCAAAGCTACACAGAGAAACCCTGTCTCGAGAAACCCTGTCTTGGAAAAAAAAAAAAAAAGACCAAGCATGTTCTAAGGAATACAACCGAAGACTAACACTGTATCTGATCTCAGAAAGCTTATGCTCTATTCAGGAAGACAGATAATGAAGTGATTGTTTTGTTTTGGGTTTTGTGAACCAGGGTTTTGCTATGAAGGCTATGATGGCTTAGAATTCATGACCCTGTCCCTGAATGCTGTTATTAAGTCACGTGCCACCATGCTTGGGTCAGTAGACACATTTTCAAAAGGGAATGGATAAATCATGTAACATGGAAATGCATCATGGGTTCCTGCTCAGTGTACATGGCCAGACAATCCCAGAGGAAGAGTGTGTCTGGAACAACTAAAGGTGCCAGTCAGCAGTGGCAGTTGCTGACACCAACCCTGGGATGTGAGAAAGAAGGTATTGAGTCCAAGAAGGAAGTTCTCACCATGACCAGAACAAGAAGTGGGGTGACAGACAGGCACGGGCACAGAAGGTGCCACAAAGAGGCTGAGAAGACTGGACTTAAGAACAGATACATTACATACCTTTGGTCTCCAAATTACTCTTTAAGAATTTATCCCAAGGATCAGAAGCCTTCCTCTGGCTTCTGTAAGCATCCTACAAATGCACTTGCATACACACTCGCTCACACATAAACAAAAAGGAAAATAAATCTTTTTTTAAAAGAATTTATCCCACCGGGTGGTGGTGGCGCATGCCTTTAATCCCAGCACTCGGGAGGCAGAGCCAGGTGGATCTCTGAGTTCAAGGCCAGCCTGGTCTACAGAGCGAGATCCAGGACAGGCACCAAAGCTACAAAGAGAAACCCTGTCTCGAAAAACAAAAAACAAAAAACACAAGAATTTATCCCATGTGAATGTGTGTCAAATAAATGAGCATGGCAGTTACTGACGTCATTTTCCTAACTGCAGAGAGATGAGAAAGGATACAAGTTCAAAAGCCAGACGACTGTCTAAACCCACCTCTTCTCATATAACAAAAACCTTCCTATATAGTAATGGAAGAGCACATAATTAAAGGAAAGTCTATGATATATCATAAAAATGAGTAAGTTCCAAAATTTTATATACAGAATAAACCAACTTTCGCCAGGAAAAAAAAAAAAAAAAACACATGGATGTGCTATTTCTTCCTAAGTGTTTAGTGTAACTGGTGAAGCCATCTGGGCTTGGTAATTTCTCTAAGGAAAAGTTTTAATTACTGAGTCAAGACTGAGAATTGAATGCAGTGGTACTTATGGAACCTCAGCACTTGGGAGATGCAGGCAGGAGGACCAGTAATTCAAGATTAGTCTTGGCTATCAAGCATGTTTAAGCCCACAAGACACTGTACCTCAAAATCAAAGGAGGGCCCGCCAGATCTGAGAGCTTCGATCTGGTCCCTGAAGCCTACACATCGGGAGGAAATAACCGACTGTAGCAAGCTGTCTCACTTCAATACACATACTGTGGCACAGCCCGCCCCATCCCTGCAACTCACAAACATCAAATAAATACCAAACCTTAAAAAAAGATAAACAAAGCAAAAAGGACTGGAGCAGTAAGAAAAAATTTTGGTGTTTTTGAGATTGGGTCCTGGTAGCCTCAAGCTCAGGCACTCTTCCTGCCTCAGCCTCCTGAGGACGAGATGATATGCACACATCACTCTGCTCAGATAAAAAGGTTACTCTAATGATTTCTCATTTATTTATGTACATGTTGTGTCTTTTCCCTGCATGAACACATGCATCACCTTTGTGCCTGGTGTCCTGAGAGGTCAGGAGAGGGTGCCAGATTCCCTGGAAATGGAGCCACCTGAAGTGGGTGCTCAGAACTGAACTTGGGTCCTCGGCAAGAGCTCCAGGACCCCAAAATAATTTTTAACATTTATTTATTGTGTGTGTAGGTCAAGAAGACAACTTATGAAAATCTAATTTCCTTCTTCAATCATGTGGGCCCTGTGGAGCAAACTCGGGTCCTCAGGCTTGCCAACATGTGCTTTCCCTGGTGAGCCAAGTCCCTTTGGCCTACAAGATATCTTTTGAAAACAATAATTTTAAAAAGCAGTATGCTTTCTGGATTGTACCATAGGTCCAGGTGGCCAGTCCTGGGTACCGCAACCAGAGCATCACTTTGGACAATGATGACAACTTCAATGGTAATGACTGATGGCGGGAGACAAAGAAAGGGCTGGGTTACTGAGGAAATACCTAGAAGGAAAGCCAAAGCACTGGGATCCTCCCGTTTTTGGGGAACAACCGCAAAGCCAGTCATAAACAAGTATGAGTGGGAGTTCATGTGTTGGCCACCTGAACACTCCAGGAACTGATGTACACCCCTGGGATGGTGCAGTTGTGCAGATGGAGTGTGATCCAGACCCTTTCCTCACTAAAGATGCCCATGACCTCCATCATTCATTGCTATCTGCCAGAGGGAAGCTATATGAGCTAATTATCACTGGCAGCTGGAGTTGTCCTCCTAACTAAGACAACTTACATTATATGAGGAATGACAAACGACATTTCAACCAGTGCTCCTAAAGAGGCCTCAAAAGCAAGCAAACAAACAAACAGCAACAAAACAGAGCTTACGGGGTGGGAAAAAAAGCTCTGTCAAACTATACACCAGACATCAGTTTAGTATCCAGAATACATCAAAAAAATTGCAAAACTTAAACAATAAAACCCCTGAATCCATCCTCATATTAAATGAATTAATGAACTAGACAGTTCTTAGAATAAATAGAAATGGTATCAGGTATGTTGGTCAGACCTGTTATCATAGCAGTTAAGAAATGGGGGGCAGGGGATCAAGGTTATTCTCAGCTACACGATTTTCATGCCAAACTGGCCAACACGAAACACTGTCTCAAAACAAAATACAATATAAATAAAAAGTAAATACAAATGGCTAATATTTGAAAAGACGTTCAGGTTCCTCGGTCAACAGTGAAATGTAAACTGAATGTGCTTTGAAATTCCATCTCACTCTAGAACGGCTATCATCAGGAAAATAAGTAACTAATGCTGGTGAGAATTCGGAGAAAGAGCAACCCTTAAACACTGCTGGTGGGAAGATAAATTGGCCAATACAGTATGGAAATCAGAACAGAGCCTCCTCAGAAATACTAAAGATCTCTGTGAGTTTGAGGCCAACCTGGTATACAGAGCAAGTTCTAGGACAGCCAGTGCTAAATAGACTCTGTCTCAAAAAACAAAACAACAAACCCATCAAAAACTGATGCACCAGAAACCCAGTTATACCACTCTTGATCATATACTCTTGTCACAGTAGTCTCAAAGGTAGGAAATGGAACCAGATAAGATCCAACAGATAAATGGATAAAGAAAATGTGGTACATATACACGACGGAATTTAATCTAGCTGTAAAGGAAAATGGATGGAACTAGAAATCATTGTGTTTAGTAAAATAAGCCAGACACATGGTAGCTCACAACCATCTGGAACTCTAGTTCCAGGGTATCTGATGCCCCCTTCCAGCCTCTGAAGGCACCAGGCATGCAATGGTGCATATCCATACATACAGACAGAATACACACATAAAATACATCTTTAAAAAAAATATTCGTGTTTTCCCTATTTTCTGAGATATTAATAATTTTATATCCAGGTGAAATTATCTGACATAAAGGTTGATATCATAAAGCCCTTAGTTTGAAGAAGTTTAAGGTGTGTTTAGTCCCTTTGTTTCATCCTATTCACAACTGAGAGGTTAATGAATCTTGGGCATTTGCAGAGGGGGAGACATTTTGGTGTTGTAGCTGCCCATTGGGCAAGCTCCTGTCCATAACCCCTCATCTATACTCATGTAAGTAACCCCCAATAAACTCACTGATTCCTTAGACAAGTGGAATTATCATCTTTGATGTCAGTGTCATATCTTGAGTGCAAATAGACGTTTATCCATGCCAAAGAATTCAAAGTGTGGGGGCTAGAGGGATGGCTCAGTGGTTGGGAGTGCTGGCTGCTCTTCCAGAGGATCTGGGTTCAAGTCCCAGCACCCACATAGCAGCTCATAACTGTCTATAATGTCTGTTCCAGGAGATCTGACACCCTCACACAGACATATATGCAGGCAGAACACCAATGTATATAAAATACAAATAAATAAATTATCAAAAAAAAAAAAGAATTCAGAGTGTGGCTACCAATCAGAGTTCATAATGCACTGGGATAACCACACTCAACGTGGTCACCAAACTCATTACTGCAAAGAGAATAATGATTTCCCTTTGAAGTGACATTACTCAAGATCTACCCGAGGGGCTCAGACACCTACTAGCTGCCATGAGGCCTACCCCATCAGAAAAACCATCATTAATGCAGCATCCCTTTTCACCAAAGCAACCCCAGCTCTATGCTTCACACAGAAGCAACCCCAGCTCTACAAATGCCCAGGACTCCCCAATCTCTCAGCTGCGGTGAATAGGGTG